TTTGGATGATTCAGCCCTGTTGCCAAACTGGGGGACTTATTCTTTGAAATGTGCTGGGCTCTGCCCAGATGTACCCTTGTTTTTTTTACCCCCTGATGTTTTATCCTGTCCATGGAAGCCCTTGGCTCAACCATGGCCCCACCAGGTTTTTGTGATGGGAAGCACTCATGCAGTGCCCTTTCCCCATGTCCCAAATCCCCTTGATTATAAGTTCTAGCAGCTGCTCTTCGTAGTCTCAGCAGAAAAACCAGATTCCGTTTTGTGGCTGAGGCTGAAGCAGGGAGAGCTGGCACTGTAATGCCCCATCCTTTCCTCCCCATCTAGGTGTCCAGTAAGAAGAGCTTGAGTCTGAAGGAGCTGTCGGAGGAGCCGGACTCCGTGTCACTGGTGAGGGTCAGGGCAGCTCTGGGAGAGGAGAGACCCCCTGCCCTCGTGCTGGGGGTGGAGAGGGCCTGCCTGGTGCCCTTGGTGGGTTTGACACTGTCTGGTGGCTGCTTGGGGAGTCAGGAGAGAGCTGGTTCTTCTGTTGGTGCCATCAAAGGCGCAAGGATGTGCCTGTTGCCATCATAGCTTGTCCTCTGGGACCCTCATCCCCAGACCTGGAAGGAGCAGATGGGTCAAGAGGACTGGCTGAGCACAGGCAGTGACTCTGTCTGTGTAGAGACAGAACAACTTCAGAGTGATGTGGAAAATGCCACCACTCTGCTCCCCAGGGGCTGATGCTGTTCACAGCTGGGAATGTGGATAACAGGCTGGGAATGTGGTTGAGTTACCCAAAAATCTGCAGGATGAGGAGGATGGTGGGAGAGGGGGACACCTGCTGAACCATGGCAGGATCCAGGGAGCATGGGGGCCATGTCCTGCACCTTTGGAGCAGGGTGTCTTCCATGGCTGCTGGTCCTGAGCCTCGGGCTGGGTGCAGGAGGTGACAGTGGGGGTGCACCAGAGGGTGACAGCTGGGATGTCACCCATGGTCTGGTGACATCCCAGGGGTTAAAGATTAATTTCAAGGGCTGAATCGAGAGTGACCCAGGCTGATCTGGCAGCATCTCCTGGTGCAGCCCTTTGGCAGCTCCAGCTCTGGGAACTCTCCATTGCGGGAGCCCCTCTCTGTGCCAGCTGCCACCCCGCTTGATCTGTTGTCTTTTTGGGGCACTTTTTTGCCCTATTTAGGGCCTGCTGGAGAATTCCAGGTGTCCACCCTGAGCTCAAGGGGTGGAGGAGGCAGCAGCTGGTATTTGGGGCAGGGTGCATGGGCAGGTCCTTCTTTGATAGTAGGAACCTGCATTCCCATCATGTAGGAGCCGTCATGGAAGACCAGCTCTCCCTCAGGATGATGTTTTGAATGTGCTGGTGCTCCAAGGTTTGAGTTTGAATCTGGCCCCCCATATCCATGGCAGTGCTGGTTTCATTCATGGCTCACCAGGACTGTTCCCACAGGAGGTGATCGTCCCCGAGGGCAAGTGGAGGAAGGTGTCACCTACCTCACTGTCACTGTCACTGCCAGATGCCAACTACCAGTGCATCCACCGGGCCTCTGTCAGCAGCCTGAGCACCAAGGAGAGCTCCTTCACCTCTGAGGAGCCACTGGTTTCAGGTGAGGGGCATGAGCTTGTGCCCTGCTCCACATGGTGGTAACCTCCATCAAAGTGTGTTCATCCATCCTCTGCTCTCATGCAGGGGAATTCTGCCTTACAGATTAGGCTGGGAGTCAACTATGGAGTCCTGGGGATGGGCTGGGGTCTCCTGGCTGCAGGCTCTGAGCCCATGAGGGAGGAATATTTGATGTTTCCTGGTTGCTGGAGGAGCAGGAGCATCAGCCAAGGGTGGCTGTGCTGCTGACTCTGGGTTTGCTTTCAGAAAGTGCAATAAATACCGAGGAGGAGCTGGAGGTGGAGCAGAGCTGTGTGGCAGAGCTGAGACCCTCTGACTACCAGCTCCTGAAGATCTTCATCGTACTGTAAGTGTGCCAAGGGTGCTGGGAAGCTGGGGGGACACTGGGAATGTCACCTCAGTCTCAACTGGGTGTTTGGCTTCTTCCTCTGTTCCAGCATCTGCCTCCTGGTCGTGTCCTCCTCGTACCTGGCATTCCGCATCTTCCGCCTGGAGCAGCAGCTCTGCTCTCTGAACCGGGATTACCTCTCCCGCGGGCACAGGAGGTGAGGGGCCCAAAAGGACATTTTGGGACATGCAGCTCATGCCATGAGTGGAGATATTGAGGGAATGTGGCTGCAAAGAGGAATGGCTCTGCTCTGTGATGTGTCTAAGGAACGCTTTGTCCCTTATCCTGGGCCTGCTGTCGGGCTGGCCAGTGACAGAACCCACAGTGCCATCTCCAGACCAGAGGTGATCCCAGCAACTGCTGGTTTGAGTGACTGGGAAGCTCTGCTATCCCAGAGACTCTGAAGCTTGGGGAGAGGTTTCCTCATTGGTTTGGGGCTAGTTCTCCAGTTGTAGGAAGCACCAGGACATTTCTGGAGCTGGGCTGTGCCTTGGGGCTAAGGCCATGGGCATCAGCATGGGATGGACAGGAGGGGAATCTCCCTGGGCTGAGGACATCAGGAGGCACTGGGATGGGATGCGGAGCCTCTGCAGTTACTCATCCCATCTTACCCCACTCCCTGCTTGCAGGTGACCGTTCCCCAGGTGCTGGCTGAGGATGGACACTGAGGTGGTGGCACCCTGCCCACGGATCCCGGTGCTGTGTCCTCCCAACCGTGGCTGTTACATTTGGTCCGGATTTCCCTCGGCTGGTAAAATGGGACCAAGTATTTTCTCTCTTCCTTCGGGCACTTGCTCCTGGTGGGACTTTGCAGCCAGGTTCTGGTTACCAGTGCCAACTCCCCATCCCACTGGAAGCCTGTTTTCTCCCTGGGACACTGCTGTGCTGTAGCACCGGACAATGGCTCGGGGCTGCCGAGCACTTGGACCTTCCCTTAGGACTTGCTGCTAAGATGGATGCCGATTTTTATTTCAGGCTTGGTTTTTTTCTTGTTAAAAGATGACCTTGGGCTCACCAGGAACCCCCAGAAATGTGGATGAGTTACCACTGCTGCTCTGGGAGAACCCACCTGTTTGTCCCTCAGTGTCCCTGGGAATGTCCCTGGAGGAATGGCCCTGAATACAGGGATCTGTGGGGATGGGGAGAAAGGGCCCACTAGCCCTGTGGGGTGTCCCTCATTTATCCCACACACAACAGTGGGGGTTCAAGCCAGGGCTCCCCAGCCTTCTCTCCTGGAGCACCGAGCTCAGAGAGGGGTGTGTGTGTGTGCATCCCTTGCAAAGCACTTTAAGGTCCCCCAGACCAGGTGTCCTCGCTGGGGTTCACACCTGGCACAGATGAACTTTGTTAGTCCTGCTCACCCCATGAGGATGCTGGAGAGGAGCCCATGGCTGGCACTGGGGAATGTCCCAGAGTGCAGAATCTGTGCCCTGGTTCGTGTTAACCCTGTCACTGCATGGAGCTGAGCGCTGCAGGATCTGTCTCGCAGGATTTGTCCCACAGCCCCCTGGGAGCACCCTGGGGTGGCAGGTGGTACCGGTGTGATTCCTTTCTTTCCTGTTTTTTTGGGAACTACAAGTGCTGATGGGGCCAAATCCCGGCGCCCTGGGGAAGAGCTCACTGCTCGCTCCGGGCTTGGAACGGCTTTTAAATGGAATTACAATAAACCCTGGATTTTCTAGCACATCATTGACTCTTACCAGCGTCCTCCACAGTGGTGCTGGGCTGTGAACCCCAAACCTGGGCACCCCACAATCTGTGCTGTCCTAATGTCCCTTCAGGATGTGAGTGACAAGGGGCCAAGGTTACTGCACTAGATGGCAGCAGAGACTGCGGGATGCGACGCGCTGGTGGCAGGGCCGCCCTGGGGACAGCGCTGCCGGGGGAGGGAGCTGAGTTGCAGCCCCACCCAGCTGGGATGGGCAGCGTGAGCCTTCCTCTTTCTCCTCCTCCTCCCTGCACATTCACAACCCAATTCCACTCCTTTCCCCGGCCTGGGCCATGCAGCAAAATGCATGAAAATGGCCCAACTTGAAAACCGGGGTGGCCCTGGTGAAGTGGGGACAGGGGTGGTGTCACCTGTTTTGGGTGGGATTTAGCACCCGGGGGTGCCTGGGGGGTTGGTCTGGTTTATTCAGAGCCCTGGCATTATGGGGCTGTCGGAGCCTTTGATTCCCTGGGTGACCTGGAGGATGAAAGGCGCCGTCCTGTCCTTGCCAGGGACTCGCCCAGCTTGTTTACGTGGTGTTGTTTTTCCAACAAACAAGTTGGTGTTTATTGAGTCCAACCTCAAAGTGGGGCTCTTGGCCCCAAAGAGAGGTTTAGAGGTTGAGGGCTGGGGGGGGTTTGGTCTGATGTGCCCAGCCTGGTGTTTGTTGGGTCCAACAGCAGGTGCTTGGGGTTCCTGTGCTGAGGCCAAGCCAGGAATGTGGTCTCTTCTCAAGACTCCTTGGTTAAAGCCAGTGATGGGATGATCCAGGGGTGCAGTGACTTGTAGGAGGTTTGGAGGAGCACTGGGATGAACCCACAGTGTGCTTTGGGAGGGCTCTGCTGCCAGGATGTGGTTGCAAGGTTCTGGTTTTGTTCCCCATCTGGTGTCTGCCTGCCTGCCTGGTTTGGTGCATGTTGGCTCTCCCAATGACATCCTGCTTGAGCCTATTTGCTTTTCTTTGTGTAAAGAAATGCCACGTAAAAGCCTCGGGTGCAGGGAACATCCTTGGACACTCACCTTGCTGGCCTGGAAACAGCCATGAGGAGCACAGGCTGTGCAGGATGAGCACAGCCCCTGCCCTCACATCCCCCTGCTGCTGCCCATGTCACACCCACTGCCCCATCTTCTGTCTTCCTCCCTCCCCAGCCCAAGCCAATCTAAAAATAGGATTGGGAGATTAAATCAGCCAAGGCAGCTCTGTCAGACGGATGAGTCAGAGCCACCATGCTGTTACACTCTGCACCACAGCATGAGCAGGGACACCAAGGACTGGATGACGCTGGGAAGCACACAGTTTGGTCTGAGTTTTATTTGGGATTTGGGAGTGGCAGTGATGTTGCTCTAGCAAAGCCCCTCAGAGTCCAAAGGGAATCCCCTTCAGCAAGCAGCTGGATCCTGTTCTGGCTCCAGCTGAATGGGTTTTCCAGGGAGGGCTGGTGCTGGAGGCTGCTCTCCTATCCAGGCAGTGTTAGGAGAGGGGGACAGCCCCAACCCTTGTCAGGCCCCAGTGCTGCCATGAGGGTGTTTTGGGGCAGCCTGGGCTGAGTTCTTGACATTCACCTGGAGCAAGGGAAGGTGAAGCCCTCCAACCCCTCAGTGCTGTGCTGCTGCACTCACTGGTGGTGAAGAGCTCCAGGTTAAAAACAATCCTTCCTCAAGGGTTGTGTTTAACCCGGATTTCCCGTCTCAGGTAGGGGTGTGGTTGCTCTGCTAGACACCACCTGAGCAACCTGCTCTTTGCTTCTCACCAGGTGAGAGATTATTCCTTATCCTGCAATGACATCTGTTTAATTTTTATTTTCCACACTGCTAAGCCTGTCTTTAAGGAGAGGATCCACTCTGGGATCCCAGCCATCATCCAGCACGGGAAGAAAAGTGTTTCAGTTTTCTGAAGTGCATTAAGGACTTCAAGGAGCCCGCAGTTATCTTTGGCTTTTATACCTCAAACTCTGTCCTTTTGTTCTCCCTGGTGTGTTTTTTTCTTTTCTCTCAAGTAACAGAACTGGTTTTGTGTTATGAGCAGCGACCGCTAACAAGGGTTGGGGAGCACTGACAAACCCTCCCTGCACAGAGACGACCTAAAATCCTAATGAAAAACACCAAACTTCAAAGAGTGAGTGTTGCTTTTCATCTCAATTAAGTTTCTTTTCCTAGGATTGGCTTTCTCAGCTTCCTATTAATCTTCCAGCAGTTCAGAGTCAGGTTTTAATTTGCAATAAGAACAAGCAGGGGCGGGGGACCAAAAAAAGCCATCACTGTGTGGCTGAGGAGCACCTGGCTGATGAAAAATGACTTTGATTTTGCCCTGTTCTTAAATTAATTGTAGCATTTCCTTTGCAGTCTCATCTTTTTGCAGTGACATCTCAGTGTTAGATTTTCAGGGGTACAAAATCCTGGCTTCTAAATCCCACATTTCTCCAATACCATTAACAGGAGGCACAAATTAGAACTGTCCACGATAAAGCACTCGGGGCTTGGGTTTAAAGAGCATTTGCTAAACCTGGCTTGGAAGGACAATGCCAGCAGGCAACTAAAGCCACCTAATGAGGGTGTGTTGCCTGCTGGGCACAGGTGGAGAAGTCTCTTTAGCAACCTGTTTTGCCACAGCGATTACTGTAAAAATTTACCATGGAGAGGGTTTCTTTGAAAGCAAAGTGACTCTTGTCATTAGAAGTTGAGACAGACCGGTGATTTCGAGAGGAGAATAAGGCTTTTCCTGGAGGGAATGGGGCGTTTGGGGGGTGTAGCCATGCTAGAGGGGTTACATTCTTTTTCTTTGGGACAATCCTGTGCATGGGCATCTCCCTCAGGCACTGGGGGTGCTGCCTCTTGGACTGGGAAGGCAGTTTTTGGGGGGCTGGAGGTGCATCCCCATCACTTCTGTGCCAGTTTTGTGATGAGAGCTTTCCACTCTGACCTCTTCTGTGTGATGTAGGAGGGGGTGAGGAGCTGCAGCAGAGGCTCCGTCCTGCCCTGGAAGTACCCGTGGCACAGAGCCTCAGCGTTGCAGATCACATACATCCCACAGTCGTAGCTGTTCTGCTGTGCCGGCGCCTTCTCCTCCACAAAGGTGGCTTTGCCCCCCTTTTTTCCCAGAAAGGCCTCCAGTTTCCCTGCCACCTGCTTGGCGTGTACAGAGTTGCATTTACTGTGGGAATCATAATGGGCAAAGCACTTCTTGTCCCTGAAATAAACCAGTAAGCTCCAGTGGGTGCCCCCAGCGGCCTGGCTGGAGTTGTCATTGATGGGCAGGAACAGCAGCTCCTTGCAGAGGAGGTCCAGGGGCTGGAGGAATATGGCTATTTCTTCCTGACTAAGGGCACACTTGATGAACTGGGCCACCTCGGGGCTGATGAAGCAGACACGGTGGCTGAACTCCTGGAACTGCTGGTTGGTGAAGTACTCGAAGGCGAAGCCGATGATGCGGTCGTTGAGCCAGTTTGGGGGCTCCAGCAGGGCCACGTCCGACTGCCTCAGCAGGCTGTCCACGTAGCTGAGAACCACAGGATCCATCCTGGGCTGCTCCGGGGCACCGCCAGAGCTGCAACACACAAAGGAACACGGGCTGGCAACTGGGATACAGCCCACACCTGGACACAGCCCAACAAACACCTCAAGTTCCCTCTCAGCAGCAGTGAGAGCCCAGGATTCCCAGATGGATATTTGCAGGACCATGAGCAGATGGAGAACACACAGTGTTGGGTTAAGCAGCAACCTGCTGTGACTCCAATGAGATCAACCTTCCATCCTGGGGATCTGAACCTCACAAGAAAGGAGTTTCAGAGCAGCTCCTGCACAGCAACCAGGAGTGATCCAGAAGTCAGGTCGTGTTTACGTGTCTCAGTGTTTTACCTGTGCAGCGTCAAGCACTGGAGTTCTTTGCATCACCAGTATTCCCCCAAATAAAAACCTTTTTGGGCTGTCTGACAGACATCTGGTCCCTTTCTCCAAGCACAGAGTGCCCCAGCTCTGTGCCAGAGGCACGACCTGTTCCAGGAGAACCTGCTGGGCCGCCGGCACAGGAGGCACAGCTGTGAGTAAGGAGTAACAAAGCAGGACCAGATCACAAACAAACCTGTTCCCAACCGTGGGAATCTTTATGACAGCTCTCTACATAGCCAGAGTAGGATTTAGGAGATTTTCCACATGGAAATTTGATTTAGAGCCCCTATATCTACCCTGGTTTTCCTTTAGCTCTCACACCCTGCAGCCCTTCCAGGCTCCTCAGTGCTGTGATGCATCCTCAGCCTCTGGGTCCTTTCCTGGCCAGGACAGGGCTAGAAATGCCACAATTTGGGACACAAATGACATGGAGCTGGTTTTGGCGTCATCCTTCCCTCCTCTGTCCCAAAGGCAGCACAGAAACATCTTCAGATTTCTGAAAGCCTCGTGTGAAAGCTCAGAATGATAAGATCACTTTAATATGATTCACTATAAATAAGTCACCAATTTTCCATCACGATGATGAAGAATGAAGCAAATGGAGTGTTCTGTTAGGAAGAAGTAGATTCACACTTCTTATTGTGACATGAATCATGAGGAATAACCCTTCCTGGCCAGGGATGCATAAATTAAGGGATTTATCTCTCAAAAATGTTGGCAAGGTCCCCTGGCATGTGACAGGGAAGGAACAGAATGGCTGAGCCATGGTGCATGTGTAACACGTCGGAAGGAAGGGCCGAGGTGAGTGCTTGGGGCATGAAACAGGCAGAGAGCGTTCGTGTGTGCCTGTGCATCCCGGAGATGCCGAGCAGCAGGAGTCACCAGAGGAAGGGAACAGCCCTTGTTTATGCTGAGCCAAACACAATGGCATCTGGACACGCTTCCGACCTTAATGAGCTCCAACTATTTCCAAGCTCGTGGTGCAAACCCTTGGAGTATAAAAACAAATCCCAACAGAATCCCAGTAACTCCTCAGCCTGCCTGAATATAGCCTGGTTTAAAGATCTGGATATCCTCCAAACATCCTGTCCGGGGGTTTAACATGGGCACTGCTGAAACACTTCTTGTATGTGCCCATGAAATGCCCCAGATTTTCCTTCACATTGTGTTCTTTCTGCTTCATTTTTGGATGTGTAGAAGTCCAGCCAATAGCTTTCCACTCCAGTCCAAATGGGATTAAGAGCGAGGGAAGCGTGTGTCCCGTGCTCTGTTAATTTTCCACTCTGCAGAAACATAGTTGTCCTTTTTTTTTTTTTTTTTTTTTCCTGCCATGACATTTGGCAGGTTCCTCCAGTCAGGAAGGAGAGTGCAAGTGCTTAATTGCCACTAGCTACTACTTTTAATTTTATTGCCATCTGGTATTTGTGAAACTGCCTGTGAGCTCTGTGGGATGACTCACCCCGTGCAGCTCCAAGGGAAAACCCTTGGGAGGCTCCCTCAGAGCCAGGTCAGGTAAGCAGCAAGGACCAAAACAAACTGGTGGGGCTGTGAAACGCCACTGGTGAGGTGGCTTTCTCTGGGAGAACCTCCCAAGAGCTAAAGATGGCTCTGCAGAGGAGCCAGGACGTGGATCTGAGCCTCTGAGGAGTGCTGAAATCCCAGCGTGGATTGGGAGCAGCTCTGCTCAGCCACAGCCAGGACTCTCTTCCTGAAGGCTCAGGCACGTTCTGTTCAGTTTCCATAAAAATAAGACTAAATACTGGCACAGGCCTGGAACATTTGCTGGAGGTTGCCAAGAAGTGTCTTGCTGGTTCATTTTATTTGCATATTAGTAGTTGGAATTTGTGCAAACTGCCTGGAATCCTCAGCTCCTCCAAGGGATTTCAGCTGCCCCATTTCCAATGCTGAGATGAGGAAACCAGGGAGAGAGAAAGGAGCATTTCCACACAAACACCATAATTTCATTTACAGATTTGAAAATGGTGCTGCATCAGTAGGGCAAGAGGTCAAGCTTCCCTCACTGAAGTTATAATAATTTAATTTAACAAATGAGCTGCTGGCATCGGTGTGAGTTCAATCCATAAATGGATGGGGCTCCTTCATGTCCAGATGCAATGCAAAGCCTGTGTTTTCCAACACTTGACCAAAAACCTCCCCAAACCTGTCATTTTCACACCATTAAAGACAACAACCCCCTGCAGGTAATTGTGGAAGGCACTTGAGAGCCAAGGAACGAGACTCCTCAGTAACTGAGCGTAAAAAGGCAGTGACAGAGCAACGGGAGCGTGAACTAGGCATGAATCAGATTCCTAAAGTCTATTTTAATAAATTAAAGGTGCTAAGAACCTCCAGAGGGAATAGTTTAGGGTGAGACGTCACTAGAGTCCTGCTCCTAATTTAAAAAACAGGGAGGTAAATAGGAAAATAGTCACCTGGAACTGGTCTGATAAAAAATCCACACTTCTATCAGGGAGCAGGAGGAAGGACAGAGAATGTTTTGTCTTTAAAGAACAAGAATAAAAGACCTTATGGTTTAACTTTTATTCACTTTTCCTGGAAATATGGGGTGTAGATACCATGTCTGGATAGTTGTTAATGCAGCAAGATCAGACAAGGAACATTAATTTCTATTTACCAGCAGGAGCCAGGCTAGATGACACCTGAATCTCATGTTTCCTGACAGAGCCAGAGGAAAAACTCACGGAAAATTAAACAGTTCAGCCAGAACGGAAGTATAGTTGTCTCCTTTTTTGTTAAATATAAATAATCTCTGCAGCTGTAGGTTATAACTCTCGTATGATACAAGAACATCCCACTTCTGAAAGTTCAACAAGCCATGAGTGCTGAAATCAGAGGAAAATCCGTACTCACTATGCCCAAACTTCTCTGTTCTGGACAAATTCCCCAAACCAGAGACTCTGCAACCAAACTCAGAACCTCTCTTGGTGTCCCAGCATGAAACCAAGAGCCACAGGAACAACACACAACAGTTCTTGCTCTCCAGGATGGGGTTCACCAAAACCTGGAGTTTAACAGGAAAACCCCCTCAGTGAGCAGAACCCCCGAGGATGAGCGAGGGCAGGAAGGTCCCAGCTCAGCCCCTGAGCCGAGCACTCACCTCTCACGTCCCGCAGGCGGGGTCCGGCCCAGGGAGCAGCGGGGAGGGAACGGCACCGGCCTGAAGGACCTGGAGAGCACAGGGACGGGGTCAGGAGCGGCAGTCCGGCCAGGGAGCGACCCGGGCTGTCCCAGCCCCGCGCAGGAGGAGCGAGCCGTGCCCCCGGGCTGCCCCCGAACATCCATCGCTGTTGTACCCACACAAATAATCACATTCGTTTTATGGGAATGAACGGGAATTGCGGGCCAGGAGAGGGTGTACCCGGGCCGGGTGGGAGCAGGGACCCCAGTAACACACCTCCGCTCCCCTACCCCATTTTACCCTTTTTTCTCCTTAAAACGCGGGCTTGAAGCCTCCGGGCCCGAGGCCGGCCAGCACCGAGCCCCGACGGCTGCGGCCGGCGCGACCCCCGGACACGGCGCCTAGCGCCGGGACCTTGCTGGCACCATGTCCTGCCGTGTCCCCGCCGTGTCCCCGCGTTTCCCTGCCGTGTCCCCCCCGTTTTCCTCCCGTTTTTCCCCGGCTCTCACCCGCCGCCTCATCGCCCGTCGCCGCCGCTCGGTTACCGCGCACTGCCGTAAAGCGGCCGCGTCGTAACGACGGGGGGCGTGCCTGGGGGCGTGCCCGTGGCGGGGCGGGGCGGGGCGGTGCGCGCGCCTCCCTCCCTCCCTCCCTCCCCGCCTGGGACCCCCGGGCCTCCCTCAGCACCGACCCCCCCGAGCCTCCTCAGCACCCACCCTTGGGACGCTCCGCAGCGCCGACCTTCCTCCGCGCAGACCCCCCGAGACAGCTGTTCAGAGCCGACCTCCTTCAGCCAACGACCCTCGGGACTCCCCTCGGCGGCGGCGGAGGCTGCGGCTGCGGGCGAGGGATGCGCCGCGCCCCGACACCCAGGTAAGCGGCGGGGAGCGGGGCGGGGCGGGGGCCGCCGGTGCCGCGTGAGGTGGGAGCGGCGGGGCGGGGGGCGTGAGGCGAGCCCCGCCGGAGCATCGCGGGGGCCTTTGTTCGGCGGAGGAGGGCGAGTCTCCCCGGCGTCGGGGGGTCTGCCCGGTGCCGCGGTGGTGCGGGATTGTCCCCGGTGGGTGCGCGGTGCGGGGCAGCCCCGCGTTCCCCCCTTCCCCTCCGCCTCACGCACGGGGTTTCGCCGCCCGCACCGCTCACCCCCATCGCGGGCGGGTCGGACACTCAGACAGGGAAAAACCAGCCTGGGGGCGAGGAGATTTACCTCAGAGGTGTCAGCAGTGGGGCCGTGGGCTGTAGCCCTGAGCGTGGCACAGCCCTGAGACCGCGGACACCGCGACGGGAGCAGGTCGCGGCCGCCCCGCGGCTCCGGCAGCCCGGTACGCCACGCCGAGCCGTCCCCGGGCACCCCTCAGCCGTCCCCGGGCACCCCTCAGCCATCCCCTCCCGTCGGAACGAGGTGTACCTGGGTTCCCTTAGCACAGTGTTGGACTTCACGGCACTTCCCACCCTGGCACGCCGGACCCCTGTGGGAGCACTGCTCCTCCGCAGGTTGAAATAGTCGATAATTCTTTCTGGAATTTTCCTAAACGTAGCCAAAACGGCCTTTGCTTTATCTCAAAAAAAAAACCCCTCCGACGTGACCTGCGCTAGGACCTGCCGTGAGTTCGGAGCCGGGCTGCTGCTTCTCGGTCGGCTTCCTCCTCCTCCGTTTGCGTTTTCCTATCCCCCGACCGAGCCGAGGTTGATGAAGTGGGGAGCGTGAGCTCAGCAGAAATCATGGCTTTCCCATCCCGCGCTGCAGCGCGGTCCCTGCCCATCGGCGGATCAAAAAAATAATCACGTAGCGGCAGAGGAAGGAGATCTGCTGCTACGGGAGGAAAAGCGGCGCGGTGTCTCGCTCAGTCGATAACCAAGCGCTGTAATAAAGCGCTCTGTAAATAGATTGCTAGGTGGAGAATTGGGTTTCTGGCCGGCTCGAGTGCTTTCCTGACTCTTTTCCCATGGGACTGCTAGGAAATGACAGGGGAGCGTTGTGTTCCCGTGGAGAGGTGCATGGATGCTGTGGTGATGGGCTGTGAATCCTTAAGCACGACCTTACAAATCTGTCCTTATCCATAAACTCTGGCTAGGTCAGAGCTGTTATTCCTGAAGAGCATCATCTTTTCAGCCTCTCGCCATACAGTCACACGATTTCTCCTACGTCCTTGAGTAAACTCACCCATTTCAATGGCTTTTCTCATTTTTATGTTTTATTTAATTAAAATAAGAGGGTTTTCCATGCCTTTTTCCCTCGTTAAGGTTCTCCCAGCCTTTGCCTTCCCTTCTGGCTGCAATTTTTGATCCCCAAGACCATTTTCAAAGCTGTCAGTCAGGCTGCTGATGGCAGGGAAGGTAATTGAGCAGCCCCAGCACACAACTAATAAGCTTTTGTTTCCTGGGCTGTCAATGATGATGCAACTTCATATTTTTTATTTAATTTTTTATTTATTTATGTATTTATTACCATCAATGTATAAATCAGGGTGGCTTTAGAGTTTTTTTCCTCTGTGTTGAAAAGCCTGGTGTCCATCAGCAGCATTTGGAAAAAGCTCTGTTGGAATTCATCATGTATTTAAAATGTAGATGTGTTTTGTGAACTTATTTGTTCTCTGCATCCACTGCTCCTGTTATGATTTATAAACTTCACATTTTAAGCTTTTTTTTCCTCCTTATTTTGGGTGGGGAAGCTGCATTTTCAGATTCAAGGTATCAAATGCCTGACATGACTACTGCTGTTACAGCACCTTTCACAAGCCCTGGTACCAAACCACTCAGACAACCAAACCTTTAGAATCCTTTACTAGGAAAATCTGAATGCTTTATGCCTAAATTATTTGTATCTGGGATGTTTCTGGTGTGTTTTGTGAGCATTGATCAGGTTTGCAGGAAAACACCTGAGAATGTCAAACACCTGAGTTTGGTCACTTGGGAAATGTGAAACTCAAGTTACCTGTGCAGCCTTAATTTAGCTCGTGTCAAAGTATGGCTGGACTTGAAATCCTCATCCCCTGCTTGTTTCTGGGAGAGCAATATTCTGCTCTGGATGGAGGAACAGATTGCTCCTTCCCATGCCTGCAAGTCAACAGGGGGAGTACTGGGAGCACAGGCACCCTGCTGGTCCTTCCACTGGTTTTGCAGCTTGGCACCACCAAGCTGGCTCAGTTGGAAGACCAGGGCTCACCATCACAGGTGATGAACATCACCATCACCATCACATCACCCTGAGACCACAAGTGTCCTGTGGTGCTGAAGCTTAAATGCCTCAAGGCTGGGGAAACCAGGAGCAAACTTCCAGTGTCTGAAAGGGGTGTACAAGGAAGCTGGAGAGGGACTCTTCATGAGGAACTGTAGCTCCAGGACCAGGGGAATGGCTTCCCACTGCCAGAGAGTGAGGTTAGATGGGATATTGGGAAGAAGTGGTTGCCTGAGAGGGTGGTGAGACCCTGGCACAGGCTGCCCAGAGAGGCTGTGGCTGCCCATGGAAGTGTTCCAGGCCAGGCTGGATGAGGCTTGGAGCAACCTGGGATAGTGGCAGGTGTCCCTGCCCATGGCAGAGGGTGGAACAAGACCAGTTTTCAAGGTCCCTTCCAGCCCAAGCCAGTCTGGGATTCTGTCATTCAAGTGTGGCCAGGGAGTTTCTGCAGTCATTTGGGGTGGCTGGTTTTGGTGAGTGTAGTGTGGCCATTTTCTGCCCAATTCTAGTTCTTGCTCTAAACCGTGCAACTTTTGAACTCAATTCCTTTAAAAATACATTTATGAGAGAGCAAACAAGGTCGTTGAACCACTGGAAGCATCTTAGCCGGTCAAACTTGATTTCAGAAATTCCTGCGTCCCCTCAGTTTGTAAATAAAAGGGAATTTGCCTTCCCGCTTGCACGCGAAACACCGGGGTTGAAGGCATGTTTGTTGTGTCATTGATAAAGTTCCCAGCTTGGTCTGGGCTCTGGCTCCCTGAGATGGGCTGGGTGCAGGTTTCAGCTTTGGAACATGGTGGGTTTTTTTGTGCTGAGGTTTAAAAGAGCATCTGAATTTCTCAGGCTTTGTCCTGCGTGCCGACGTTTGCTCCACTTCCTCTCGAGTGAACGGGATTTCTCCCCTCTCAACAAAGTAAACATGAGCATAAATATTTAAAAGATCACGGTTCAAGTTTGCAAATTGGAGACTTTCTCTAGCATTCCTTTGGACAAAAGCAGTAGCATCGGAGATTTGGGATGTGTCTGGGTGCTCCTCTGCTCTGGGGAAAAGCTTGGAAATTCTTTGGGCTTCACGCTGCAAAAATACTCTGCTGTCTATTCAGGTTAGATGGCTGGCATTATCACAAAGCTTGGGTTTCTTATGAGATTTTTAAGGATAAAATGCTGCTGATGGGATATCTATGGATCATTGGAATTTAGATTGTTTTTGTGGGATTTTATTTTTCTTTTACACAGGCCAAACTTTTCCATAGGTTTTGGGTATATGTGTGAAGGCACAGGTGTTCAGAGTTGAGGCTATAGAAACCAAACATGTGAAACTCTTGCCAGATAATGGATAAAAACAGGAAAAAAGGGAAATGGAATAGTCTTTTTTTTGTGTGACTCTAGTATTAAATCTTGTGCTGCGTTTGACAGGTCAAAACCCCATGGTGACATGTACGTCTCACTCCTGTGATTGTGTCGATGTCTTAACCTCTGTGTCTTGGAATTAAACTTTTAAAAGTGGAACTCAAACCACTTGGCCTCAGAAAACATGAAAATTCAGGAGGGAAGGCTATTGAATATGGATTTTTAGAGTTGAACTGATTTTTGTGTCTCTATTTAAAACATCAATAGTTGCAGTTTCGTTAGACCTTGTGGTAGCGTTTTCCTGTGTGTGGGGGGAGTCTATGGATCCCTTTTTCACAGGTACCTGTGGAAAAATCTTACAGGTGAGGTGAGAGTTCCATGGCTTTTTATTCCTAACAAAACCCCATGATCTTGATGCTACCTCTGATGGAGGAACGTAGGCTCACCTGCGTCAGAAGGGAACTCAAGAGGTCACTTAGTCCAAAATCCTGCTCCCAGCAGGATTGTCTTCAAAGTGAGGTCAGGTTTTTCATGGCTTTAGGTGTCTAATGTCAGTTGTGTTCCACCTGTGGTTTGTGGGCTGCAGGAGGAGAAGGGAAATGAAGTGGTTTGAGCTCTATTAGGTGAGAAGTGTCCAAGTGGAATGAGATCATCCGTGACCCACTGCAGAGTGTAGTATTCCACTTGCAGCCTATGAAACTGCTGCTTCCCTCTGCCTTTCCATGAGTTCATTAAGCTGGTATAGCCACAGGCTCCAGTTGGAAGAGGATCTGGCCTGGCTGAAGTTAAATGTGGGAGAAGAACAGGGATAGTCCAAGTCCATTTGCTGATAATCAGCATGAAGTCAGCAAGTGGCTCCATAGTGGAAACTCCTCAGCGATTTTGTAGGCAAAATGAAATAAAAAAATATCCGTGCTTTAAGGAAATAAAAAAATACCCGTGCTTTAAGGATTACTGTTATTCTGATTACTTTCTGCTGTTCAAGTCTTGCATTGCAGTTTCTCATTAGGCATGGATGGGCATCCCTTTGGAGAGGGATGAGATGTCTCTTTGTGTAGGGTTCTCATTTGCCTTTGGCTGTTCACACCGTGCCAAACCATGGTTAGACAAAGCCATGGGTCATAGTTTTGGGCTCTGTTGGTGTTTTTTGTCAGCTCTTTTTTAGAATTTTGCTAAAAACCTCATAAAGAGACAGAGCATGATCTTCAGCCAGGCAAATTTTTTGCCAAGGGAGATGGACTCAGGAGTGGAAAGGCTGTGGTGCACTGAGGATGCTCGGGGTAGGATGGCAGTGAGGCTGGGTCATGTTGATGCTATCATGGAAAACAAAGAAGATAGGAGCTGCAGGAGCTGATGAGGCAGCCAATTATCCTGGGCAGATACACATTGTGTCCAGGTTTGGGTGTGGATACCTGTGCTGTCTCTGCATTACCCACCCAGATACAAGCTTAAAATTTGCTTGGGCCCTTTGAGATCAGCCTCTATATCCTCCCAAGGAATATTGATATTCCTTAGCTGGATCCTTTGTCTGTTGATGTGAGATCATTCATGGAGAGCTCAGCCAGCTGTGTCTCATCCAAGCTCATTGCACTCACCTACAGAGATATGTTGCCTTTTTTGCAGCTGCATGCCTGTCTTAAAGCAGATGCAGGCATAGCTCTGCTGTGGTCTCCTGTCATCCCTCTCTTGGGTTGTGGTGTGCTTTTAAAGATCTCTGCCAGGTCATGGAGGAAGTTTATGAAATCCCTGTTTGTGTTACAGACCCTAGGGACAGGCTGGCTCTGTGTATAGGTGTCCCCTTTGAGGGGAGGGCTGGACTGGACCCTTTCAACCCTGGTAGTTTTGGTGGTTCCAACTGTCTGCTCAGCTTCTCTTGGAAAAATCTTCTTGCTTTCCATCCCTGTGACTCACAGGAATTACTGCAAATCTCTCTTAGGAGCAGTGGGGAACAGAGCAGGTGACTGTCTTGCTTGGATGCTGCATGAAGTAGCGAAGGAAAAATATAGTTTAAAATAAATAGCCAAAATATGTGGGTTTCAATATAATTTTTGGGTCTTATTTGCTGGTCTCTTCACCTTGAATCACTTGTGGCATCACCCAGATGACCTTGAATCCTAGAGTTACTCTTTGGATGCCTGTTCCAGGTCTTGGCTTTTCTCCATCATGCACAGATAATCTGACAGCTTCTGTGCTGTTTTTTAATCAAAATGCTTTGAACTGTCTTCTCTTTCTTGCAAAGCATGACCTTTAAAAAGGTTCTGGATATGCTGTATCATGGCTGAGCATTGATGGAAGAGGAGTGTTTAATCCAGATGGATCCATCTTTGGAAAACCTGAGCTTTAA